GAGTAAAACTGGCTGTGTCTATAGTATTAAAGACTACACAACATTATTATATTATCTTTAAATTCATTCTTAAATGATTATTATTTTAACTTATTGTCCCTGGATTAGTAGGGTACTCTTGTAATAAAGTAGTGGTGGTAGCGGACAGATTTTAAGTATCAATTCTGCTTAAAAATATGCGATCTAATCCTGTTTACATGAAATATGCCTGCTCCCGAGCAGGTGTAAGCTTACAGGACCTGTTGCTATGACAGCAACTCCGGGATGAGCTTCGAAGAACCAAACAATCCAAGATCATGCCAAATCGTCAACAATCAAATCCAGCTAACTGAGTTAGCGACGTACGACGAACGGGCACAAGGTCTTCAGGATCACTAGAAAGTCACTGGCAGGCGAGTTTGATCAAGGTTGGAGCTTACTCCGCAGGAAAGTGGACCTCCAGGGCCAGAGTTGAGAACCCCTGCTATATTGTTTGATCATTTTCTGTTTAGCTTTTGTAAAGCAGCTTCAGCATTAATAATTGCTCTAAATAAAGTAAACTTAATTTTATTGTTAGTGGTAGTAGATGCAGTAACAAGTGGTCAACAGCGCGACAAGCTGGTCACGTGACGTCAAGATGGCAGAGGCCATGAGGGGGCGACCCGCTCTATGCAAAACAAAACACGGGTTTCCAAGTTCAATTTCAACACTGATGACTTCTTCAACTCATGCCAGCGCGCTAATTTTAATTATACTTCTCTAAATTTCCATTCTTTTTTTTCTACAAATGACTGAGTGCATATTTAGCAATTTACCTTGATGACTTTTTAGAAGTCCTTAAATAACCTTATCTCTCAATGTCAGTGGACATCTAACCTCTGTCTCTGCTTCCAAGAGCGATTCCCTTCCATTAACTCGCTTATTCGTGGACCCGAGATTACTGTGTTTAACACCCCAAACAGAGTTGTTGCCGAGTTACACAGAAGGAAGAGCACTCTCGCTGCGCTTTTAAAAAAAAAGCCAAGTCAAGTACTCTCACTGCGCTGTCAAAGTGAAAGAGCTCCATGGGCGGTGTGCGTGTGTGTGTGTGAGTGTTTTCACTAGCACATTCGATCAGTGCGCGCACGGAGGACAAGAGGAAGAAGCCTGCAGTGTGCACTCATGGACTAATATCCAGCTGGAGCAGTCAATACAGTTGGAAATACCTCCATGACATACTTAAAGGTCTCTTACATAACGAGAACATGTGAACTTCACGCAGCTCTCGTGGTTGGCCTAACAACAATCTCGCTTTCGATGATTTTAATGACCCTCTTCCTCGTCTTCATCGTAGGATTTTGGAATAAGCCAGCCAAGCTAAAATCAAAGGTAGGAAACAAATGCATAAATGCATGTCGAAAAGCATGGTTGTAATTTATTTTATTTTTTTTTACAAAATATCTTAATGGAACATGATCTTTACTTAATGTCCTAATGATTTTTGGCATAAAAGAAAAATCAATAATTTTGACCCATACAATGTATTTTTTGGCTATTGCTACAAATATACCCCAGCGACTTAAGACTGCTTTTGTGCTCCAGGGTCACATTTGTGGAGTAAAAGTTAATACTTTGTATTTTTAAGTAAACAGACAAAATTAGACCCTTGGGGGTAAGATGCCCCTCAGAATTGGCAGAGAAGGTGGCATGTTTTTACTAGTGTTATTATGTTTAAATGTAATACTTATTGTAATTAATGCGGATATTTAATATTTCCATAAGTTAAGACGTACATTTCAGACATCTTCGCTTTCATTAAAACCTATAGGTTAATTGAGTAAAATCATTACATTTGCATTCATAGTGTTGCTATTATGACACATCTTCAATTAAAATATGGGCAATTAAATATGTAAATATTCATATGCCTGTATACAAGTCATAGAATCATTTTACCTTTCAGATGAATCTCTTTTACTGGAATTCTGCTTTGTCCGTCATCGGTTATTCAATTATTCAACTAAATCATCAAAATACAATTTTAAATAGAATAGTTGATTTAGTATTTTACATGAATGACACTTGAAAAAATACATAAATCTTAATAAGAATGATCTCAAAAGTCATCCATACATCCAGTAAATGTTTATCCGGGCGCCTTCTTGCCACAGTATTTTACATTGTGTGCCTTAACAACTAAATGAGCAAATATCTCTATTTATTTCCTATAATAAACTCACGGGCTGATGCATAATCATCCTGTACATACTAAACCTACATCTAAATATGTTACAATTTAAAAATAAATCCACACTGTGCTTAAGAGGGTCATCTTCCCCCATCTTCCCCTATATTTTGGCCATAATTTTATTTATGCAGTAGACTAGTGAGCACAAAGTGCACTAAAGCATTAAGCAATGTTAAAGGTATATACAACAACAAATACTTACAAATACTTTAAGGTTCACATGTTATTCATCTGAAAAGTAATGACTCAATCTGGCACGCTTTACAATGTATGTAATCTTTTGTTGTGTCAGTTGCTATTAATTAACTTTTACTAACATTTAAAATGTATTATAGGCATTAGTGCCTATTCCTAGAACTAGGAAAACAGATAACAGAAATCATTTGAATAAAGGTAACTAAAAAGTACGTACTAGTGCTAGTAAGTACTAAAATTGGTACTGAAAGAGAATAGTTGATATTTGAGCTAGAACTCAATGGCACAAGTGTACAATTAATCGTCGTCGTCTTCTTCCACTCAAGTCTATAGCAGCCCAAAGTTGCTTTCATGTTTATGCTAATAACATTTAAATCGTAAGGGCTAGAAACAAAATTCAACAAAACTTGATTCCTTGGCTCAAGACTAACTCCTCATTTTCACAAAAATCAACCTAAATCTTCAGACCATGGCGACAAAAAGTTATGGAATTCAACTTCATTCATCAATTTGACAAAAAGCACAATAAAATGGACATTAGGCAATATCTCCACAATGCTTTAAGCCCGGGATTTTAGATTTTTGGCTTTCCCAGACGAAAGATTGCCATCGTGAAGCAATCGTGGCGATTTCTGTGATCGTGGCTCTTAATCGCTGGTCCTATGTCGTACAGTGAGAGAGGTTCAAAGATGGGCGTTTTCCCGGTCTTGCGACCAAAGATAGTCTACGATAGTTTTCTGGCAGTGTCAGAAATTCAGCATGTTCATCGCACAGTGTGTTTGCAGTTACGACCACGTTTACTGACCAACCAGTAAAAATGCGACATGAAATCAACGCGACATGGCGCTAAAACATAAAACTGCTTACCTCAAGCTCTTATTCCTTCCTCTTTCGCCACTCCCACTTTTTTTCAGCACACATAAAAACTACAACTGTCAAAGTGTGATTCATTATGCTCTTTTTGTTTACCACTAGCGCATGCTAATGACGTTTTATTCTTCTATAGAAACGTGCGTCGTAGCCTACGAGTCAATAGGTGTCATCATCGTACAGTCTACATGCATGTCGTACCCAAGTTTATTAGATCCATGTCGCACAGTGTGACCAGCAATGATCTTATAGGATTGCTAAAATCGTGCAGTGTGTAGAAGGCTTTAGTTTAGCATATTCAGACCAATCTTGGTGTGTTATAACGACCATGACTTGAGAGTACCTGCACAGTTTGGACACAGTGCCACCTAATGAAAAATGGCCATTTTTGCTTATATCTTCTGAACATTTGGCCAAAAAAAAAAAAAATCACAAGACTGGTCTCTTTAGATTCGGTGCAACATACCGAGTCAAATGATTTCCCCAAACTTCCCATCTCAGCCATTTTGTGCGTCGATCATAATGAATTTTGTCTTTTAATTTTTAGAATTCATGAACGCATTGGAATATCGTTACAAAATTTGGTACGTCTCTTCAGCACCATGCGCTGAAGGTACTCAAAAAGTTTCGGAAGAAGCACTACCTCGTGGTCAGAAATTATAACTTAAAAAAATTCTACTAGCTTTTGATGAATTTGGCCTATTGTCATGAGACTGGTCTTTGTAGATTCCTTGGGTCATGCTGAGAACATCGATACCAATTATGCCACAGTCGACCATTTTGATTTTATTTGAAAACCTACTTTTTTGAACTCATCCTAGACCGCTGGTCCGATTTTCATGAAAATCAAATCAGAGCATATTCAGACTATGCCGGCACAAATTTACGGATTTCATGTTGATATACAAATAACAAATTAAGAAATTCGATGGCGTGTTGCCAAAATGATTCTGAAGCTGTATCTCTGCAAGGCTTAGGCATATTGACACCAAACTTTGTGTGCGCCAAAATTGTCACACTGAATACACCACATCAATTAGGTCACAGCACCACCTATTGGTCAAAAGTCAATAGCAATTAAATCAATTATATTTTTTAACCTATAAATGACTTTGATTACTCGTGTTCTTT